TTTTAATTAGTACGTTAAGTAAACTTACTAAGTAAAGTTACCTCTTGTATACTATTAAGTATATATATATATATATATATATATATATAATGAAGTCCTGTGTGAGAATAGTCACTCATTCTGTGTTGAAATTATTAAAAAGTTTCTGATGCATGTTTTTAATAAATTAATTTCACTTGCAATTAATAGTTTTTACAGCAGACACTAAAAATTGCTTCACATTTTTAAAATTTATTTTACACAGTTGGTGATTGTTTATATACTGTCTGAACTTTTACAATATTACTGGTTTTAAGATTGATTTGAGTTTAACAATGGTATCATTCGTTTCTTATAGATCAACAAGAACAAATACCCATTGTATAATTCACAACTAATATTCTTAGTTTATTTTCTTTTTTCAGGTTTTGGGAGATATAAAACGATTGTCAATTGCTATTAATAAGCTAAAACAGTTGAACCAAGAGACACTTGCTGAGCTTTTTCCACTTGTGGATCAGCCTCCTTCTGTCTTGCCATGTAGTTATCAAGGACGAAGTGGAAGACGACGAAGACGATACAGTAGTGAATCCCCTGAGCACTTCATCCGACATAGAGATTTTAGTACAGAAACAGATGGTGTTTCAAGTTTTAATAAGAAGGTAGATTTGATGTGTAAACTGATATTGTAACCTTGTTTACTTTATCTTAATTAGTTGTTAAAGCATATTCTCTAAACTAAAATTCTTTTCTAAAGAAAGTTCTTAAAATATGCCATTTTGCCTTAAATTGATAGTAATATTATGTTTTGTCTTTTTATACAATTTTCTCACTTTGTTATTGTGATTAACCTCTGTTTTGGGATTTTTTTTTCTCAATTTTAGTAAATTTGTATATAAAATTTGCTCCTGAAGGACCAATTTTTCGGTACTTAAAATCCTGGAATAGTTCTTCAAAGTCTAACCCCATTGCTTCTACATTTCTCATTTTTGTTGATGACAAGCTTTAAAAATTGTGCTTATCTGAGTTTTGCAAAAAAACAATCTCTAGAAAGTGTCTTTAAAATGGAAATAATCTAACTTGGCAACATCAGTCAATAACATACTTTGAACTATGTACCTTTGTCTGCCAGTTAACAGGTGTGATATGACTATTGTTGGGATGATATAATTAGCATTTTAAAGAAATCTAAAACCATAAGATTGTTATTAGGATGTTTCACTTTTCATAATTTCGTTTTCAGCATACATGCATACTTCAAAAGTTAATTTCTCCAGCCTAACTTCATCACTTCCTGCCTAATATTTGTTAATAAATAGTGAGAGAGATGCAAATCCAAATGAAAATAGTATAATACAATGAGTGTCATAAAACTGTCTATTATTTATGAAATAGTCAAATATTTACCATTAAAAACATCTTATCAGCTTGTACCTAAGTCATCTATTACTTATACAAATTGATTGCAACATTTTAAGTGACATTTTGGATTCTGTTTCTACATATTTTAGGGACAGTCAGGATTGTAAGTAGTTTCATGATTACATTATTGTTTGTTTTTTTCTTTAAGTTCTGAAATTAATAAGACTTAAAAAATGGTTCGTGATTTTACTGTGATGACTGATACTGTAGTATCTTGCAAATGACCAAAACAGCAGAATAGTTAGGCCTGCTAATAACTGGAGGTTCTCAGATCTTGGGCTTGGATGCATATTTCTTAATGTGTTGCAACAGTTGAGTTGCAAAATAAGAGAAAATGCAGACTTGCACACAGAACAAATGTTTAATGACAATCCTAGTTTAAAATACAAGCAAGAATGCAGTACAAAATGATAAATAGATGTGTAATTCACAGTAGGATAAGTAATCTTGTTTGTGTATAAAGATGTGGGACTAGCAAAAATGATAAAGCCTTTAATAGATGAATGAGCTCTTGCTAATGTAGGTTCTTACCCCTGTAACTTAGGCTAGAATATAAATGAGGAATATAAACACTGTTCCAAAGTTAAAAGGCAAAAAAATTAAGTTAACCCTCACTTTAAGTTCTATGACATCCAAGTTCCAACTTCAATTTGACAACAACATTAATAATCTGTACTTGAAATACAAACCTACACTCCACTCTCTGTGAAGCAACTTCTAGTAAACTACAGTGAAAGGCAAATGGCACTAATACGAATGAAAATTAAAGTTAACTCTAATGTTGCAAGAGTTTATGGAGAGTAAAAACAATAGAAAAATACACTACCAGAAATTGAAAATGAGAACTTGTATAAACTAAAATGTAAAAATTAAAGACATTAGGTTAGATAAAAATCAAAAATGAAAGAAAACAATTTTTCATCTTGGGCAATGTACAAAGAAAATAAGTAGTTAGACTTCCATGACGTAATCTGAAATTTTGTTTAGCATAAATTGTCTGCATTCTTACTGGGTGATTTATTGCCATTCTTTTAAAATCTACAGTCATTTTGGAAAAAAGATAATTTAGATTTCATATTTTCTGTGGTGGTGGATACTAGGTCAGTCAAAAAGATTGAGCCTGTATAGTATTAAGGTAGAGAAAATAAGAAATAAAATTTTATTTAAAAAAAATCTTGATATCCATTTAGGAGGTTCTAGAGATCACGTGACTGAAATTTAAAACTAAGGTGGAAAAAAAGGTATTTCTATTATAACATGAAAATCACCATGCACTCAGATTAGTCAGATACTGAGTGAGACTGATAAAGTAAATTAAACAAATTTTTAGTAGAAATGCATTATTAAAAGGAATGTTAATAACTCACTTGAGCACGGTTGTGTTCCATCTGGAGAATAAATGAAAAACAATATTATTTTGAAAATTTAACTTTTTTAATTAAAAGAAGTAGAAATCATATAATACATATGGCAGCAGCCTTGACAACAAATAAAATTTTTCAGAATAATTATTGTTTTAAATATCTTAAATGTGGGTATGTGTTATCATAAAAGAAAAATTTTCAGGCTGAACACTACATTGAACTACAAGTTATATCGATCTACAAGGTTTCCAGTTTGTTTAAGGTGAAATTGCAACAATAAACTGAGAAAATGTATAAAAATAGTGGAATGCAGTTGTATGGCAAAATCATAAGAAATACAACATTTTAAATGTATATTATAATATGAGACGAGTGTCGGTAACAATATGAGTTTGAATCTTTGCTTTTTTGGCATGGTGATGTGTCACGATGTATACTCAGCAGCCAGTTAGGTACAACTTGATTTGTCCTTTTAGCAAGTGTAGATAATGCATTCAATAAATGTTATTTGGTTCAAGAGGAATTTTTAGCTCCAGTCAGAGTGCAGTATTTGGCAGAAAGACTCGAGGCTTTGTCATTTGTTATTAAATCAAAGTTAAGAAAAGTTAAATTATATTTAGGGGATAGTAAATGAAGATTTTGTTAGTTCTTTGAGTAACATGCAATCTTTTAGAATATTTTTTAATGTTTATTTGCAATCTTTTCCTTTTTTTGATTGAATAAGTATTCTTTGATAGCTCGAGTGTTACTGTTATTGGTAGAATGTTTAGTGCAGCTGTTATTGCATTTTTATAAAGATATAACTAGTTATTTTCTCTTAATCGATTTTTACATTCTATTGGGCATAAAAATAAAAATGTGTAATAACTCACATTTACTGTAGATGTATTTTTTTGTTGTGTTCCTTTCAATTTATACACTGTGAATTCAAAATTGGAGATGTGTAAAAATGGCATTTCAGATCCTTCTCTTGTCTCTCGCATGTTACTGAATGAGTGTTGTTCCACAAGAATCAAGAAGAAAAATTGGTATAAATGATGATAAAGAATGAATTGACATGTCTAAATGAAAAATTTTCTAACTTATTTACTGCAACATTTTGAGCAGACTCCCTTTGCCAGGCATTAAAGACCATGGTACAATGGAATTAGGCTCAGAAAAAGGATATCTGCTCGAAACATTGCAGTAAATAAACTACAAGAAGTTTTCATTTGGAGATGTTAATTTATTCTTTATTATCTTCCCACAAATTACTGCCCTTAAGATATTTTATTCAGTATCAGAATTCATCAGTTTGACTGGAATATGACAGATCAAAGATTTTCTGAAACACTATTTATATATACAGTATAGTACTTTAAAGTTTATAGTTTAAATGCAGGAAGTATTAATTCATTCTGTATACTTGTGGGATCATTTACGCTGCTTTATATTCACAC